CAGGTCAAGAGCTCCTTACTATCTCTGCTTTTCTTTCTAGTATATGTTTTGTTCTCATCATTTCCTTTTTTCCCTTTTTATTTTTCATAGTGTGCGGGGTCAGGTAACTACTTTGATCCGCCAATTCTGCTTGAGAATCGACTTTCATTTCGCTTTCCTGTCCCTTTCTTTCTCTTCCAAGTGGACTCCTTGCCAGTCTTCGTCCTGGCTTATACGTATTCGTCTCCCTCGTAATACCTTTCTTATTAATAGGTATTATAGGAATTTCCTCCAGTTTATTCTCACTTTCTAGAACAATCGCCCTTATCCTAATATTTTCTGACACGTCCCCCTCTACTATGAGAATTATCGGTATCCGCGTCACTTTCTCCATATAATTGATCCCTCGTCGCTTTTACCGAGCGGTAGTGTCCCTGGAATCGACCTTCCCCTGTCGTTCCTTTCCCAGTTGCGCCATAACCGTCGGTGCGAATGTCACGTAAAATCAAAAAAGGAAATCTCAAATGAAAAGAAAAATAAAATATAAAAAAATAAAAACAGAATTTATTTTTGAACACTTGGTTCACACTAATCACGACTTGATTCTGTACTCTACTCGTGACTTTTCAAGACTGAAGCTCTTACAATTTCACTTTCGATTGGATCTGTTTCTATTTTCTTCGTAACCCCTCAATATCCCCACTATCCACGCAATTTAGAACGCATTAGAACTTCCTGTCATCGATCTCGTTTTATTTTCGTGAACGGTTTTGAAGATAGAACCATTGTTTAAACTTTAAATTTAAGCTTCAACCAAAGGAGTTGTCCGCTGTGTCGGCTTGTGCGAACGGTGTTTTCAGCTACTGAAACACCCAATGATCTTCGCATTCCTCCTCCCATTGTTGGCAAAATATTGCCCGTCTTTGGGCAAGGCTTGCGAAATCACACAAATCCCACACAGAAAGGACTATTAAATACATCGTCGGGGTCAATCGAAAATTAAGAGCAATACCGGCATTGCTATTAACCGATATTCTTGCCATCGTTGCATGCGATTGTAAGAGAGAAATAGCAGAACAATTTCCCTTTGGAAATTTAACCAAAGGATCGTTCGCTGTGTTGGCTTGTGCAAACGGAGTTTTCGATTATCGAAAACACCCATCGATCTTCGCATTCCTCCTCCCACTGTTGGTAAAATATGACCCGTACGAAATCACACGAGTCCCACACAGAGAGGATCGTTAGAATCATCCTCGATTATTAAACTCAAAGGGCAAGAAAATCGTGGTAACAGAATCCATCGTAGTAAATGAATTGAGTTTCGGTTCTAACGGCAAACTACTACAGCGAAATTAAAAGAGAAGAAGAAGTCAAACGTAAAAATAAATTTATATAAAACAACGAGAAATCTCACATTCCTATCCAATCCAGCAACGCTAAAATATATATATATCCGGCTAATAAAATATATATAAAGGTAATAATCTAAGCAATTCTACATTCAAATAAAAATCCGTTCAACGAGGACAAATATTTATTGTTCCCAGCTTTAATCCTCTCCTGTGCCAGTATCCCTGCACATAGCAGGTTAGCTGAAAAGTGGAATTCGTTTACCAGTTGCATTAAGCGCCAGTTAACGCTACCCATTAAACAAAAAATAATAAAAATAAAATATTTTGAAATAGTCCTTAGACTATTTCTGGTGGCAGCAACTACCGTATTAATTAGAAATCTAAATCGGTATTACATACACAATAATATCATTTCAGTTTATTTCCCTTCAGATTGAATTCAAACTCAACGAAAAAAAAATTTTTCAGTAAAATCTAAATTTAAAATTTGATCGATGTCAATAAACTAATACGTAACATTAGAGGTAGTAAATATTTTGGAAGGCGTCCTCGACCGTTTCCACGCACGTCGCCTTCTAAAACATTCGGTGAAAGGACCGTTGGGATATCGATGGCTCATTAGGCACTTCGGCGATATACATTGTCGCCGAGTGCCGCCATATCTTTATCTCCATTATCAGTCCGTCGTATTTGAAGTGTGTCGGTTGTGACACGAGCCTTGTGAGGTATGAGTCACAACACCGACGGGGCCTGGAGGCTCCGTGACCCCTGGGCCGTAAATTTTTTAACCTTATTAGATATATCCATTTTTTTAATATTAATTATAGTTTAGTCCATATTCAAAGCTCAAGTTTCGCATAATTCATCATTTCATTTTCGTTTTCCTTTAACTAGCCCACTCCGTCATAGCATCGTTTTACCATTTCCATTTACCCAAAGTCCTTGCCAAAGTCGCCGTTGATATTTAAAGTCTGTAAATTTTGCCTGTGTCGATATGGCTTCAAAAGTCCACTCCTACTTGAAGTTAACTGAACAACCGTTTACTTCGCAAAACCTTATATCTGCTCCGTCCTTCTATATCCATTTTATTCCACTTTTGATTTATCTTACATAACTCGATGATATCCTAGTATTCAATTCTATGAGTAATACGCTTCTACGTATGTTGTTAATTTTAATTCCTTATACATTCTGTCGCGGATGGTTGACGCTGGCAGATGAAAAGAGAGTTTTGCGTTTCGTCCCAGGACTATCGGTGGACTCGTCAGTGAGGCTTTGCCCGGTAGTCTCTGCCTTAGACGTAGAGGGAGTCTCGCTAGGTGTCGTATTTGTATCATTCGCTCGTATATTCGACCGCTAGCGAGATAGGCAGACTCTGTTGTTGTCGTAGCCCTCTAGTGTTGGCGGTTGGTACCCGCGGATCGCCCGGGTGGTGTTGCGCCGCGTTGATGCCTCGACCTGTCGGCGTCCTGTTGATACCGATCCGCCACACATTCTACCTTCCATTATTCTCCTAAAATGATATTATAATTTATGTTATACAATTTCTTCTTCCAGTATCATGTGAATGTTATTCGTTCCTGCATTTTGGTTGGGCTAATTATTTACCTTTTATCTTTATTCCCTTATTACGTTTTTGTTTGATTTGTTTTGGTTGTGTTGCCGTTGATTTTTGAAGTTAGATTAAATGGTAGCGTTGTCTGATGTTTAATGCGATTGGCAATCAAACTTCACGTTTCGGCTAACATGCTACGCGCAGGAGTATTGGCACGAGAGAGGATTTATTATTTATATATGTTAGTTAGTTATGCACGCATTATCAGGTCCATTTATTAGAACAACAGACGCTCAGATTGATGTAATGTGATTATATACGGTTGATTTTTGTGGACGATTCGGCGAGTTTTTGGTTATGATTGGATTGCATTTGGATGGCTATCGATTTATGGCTAGGATTTATGACGACATATGGCTATGCTCACGGACTAAGAATGTAAATAATAGCTATTGATAAGTCTATAAAGGAAAAAAAAATTTCGGCGCAGGGAGTTTCGGAGCTTCCCGGCCCCGTCGGGATCTCGAGTGGCTTTCCGACGGTTATCGAGTTACTGGAAGAACGGCGGGAGGAGGTTGATCCCCAGGCACCCCGTCGACCAGTAAGAGCGACTGGGGAAAAAGCGATGACAATCAAAGAGATGAAGGAGGCAGCGGCTGGAGATGAAGCGAGAGTTGTCTCGGATATGACAATGAGCGAGAGTGTGACAACCTCAGTCATACCGAGGAATAAAGGGGGCGAGGACGGAGAAGAATTCAGCCCCTTTAAACCTAGCAGAACACTGCAGAGAAGCCCCGTGACTGGTGGCAGGACTGAAATGGAAGTGACCGAAGAATCTGAGGGCTCCTTCAGAATTAGGGATAGTGATCATAGCACTCCTTCGGAATTAGGGATAGTGATCATAGCACGCCTGTGGCAGGTAGAGGAGCGGTCACTCTGGCTAACAAATTGGCCCGGAGAGTGGCGGAAAGAAATGCCAGGACTAAACAGGGGAAATCGGCGATGGTTAGCGAAGCGGAGGATAGCGCCAGAGACGATACCCAGACGAGTGACGTCGATGACAATGACGTCATGATTTCAAAGGCGAAACTGAGATTGTTCACGCAAGCCCTTGCAGGGGCGGCACAAATGTTGAATGTACTAGTCCGAAAATTTTAATTGGGCAAGGACAAGGACGAGGGGATAAGAGAGATAGGAAATCTAATCAAAGAAATTCTATCGTCCTCGGAGCAATGCGGCGAGCAGAAGACAAGAAGGAGAAAGAGGAGAATGGAGCCTCTTCATGAGGAAAGAATGGACATTAGGATGTAAGTTCTGAAGGAGGTACCGATTGCCAGGGGGGATACCCGAAGAGGAAGGTGGTATCGCCGGCCGAAGTGACTAGAGCGGAGGAGCTAAAGAGGCCTAGGAAAGGAGAGGCTACCTACGCAGAGACGTGCGGTAAGGATAGCAGAAAGAAGGCGATAGAGAAGGAGTGCAGTGAAGACTCGGAAGGACGATGGTGGAGAGATGGAAAAGGGAGAGGAGAGCTCCCCTGGAACAGGCTATTGCTGGGGTGCGTCCGGGTGGCGAGGCGAGGGACTGGAACTGGGAAGCGAGGACTGGTGCGCCGAGGGACAGGAGAAGATAGGAGGCCATACTAGTCAAAGTGGAGGAAGGCTGTGAGTGGCTAGAGGTATATAGAAGAATAATGGCGGCAAGGAGCACCTTAAAAGGAGCCACTGGCGTGAGAAGAACGAGGGCGGGCCACATCCTAATCGAGTTCGATAGGATGGTTGCTGTAAACGAGGTGGCGGTAAGGTTGAGAGCCGCCTTGAGTGACAAAATAGAAGTGTCCGCTCTTGTGAAAAGGGCAACCCTACAGGTGAGGAATATTGACACCCTCACCAGCAAGGAGGCGCTGCTGGAAGACATCCAAAGCAGTAGGGGATAAATTTGCATGATGACATTGAGGTGAAGTCATTGATGATGGCTCCATGGGGCACCCAGGTGGCGGTGGTGGTGTGTACTTGCTTCGGCAGTACACATACTAAAATTGGAACGATACAGAGAATATTAGCATGGCCCCTGCGCAAGGATGACACGCAAAATCGTGAAGCGTTCCACATTTTGCAGTGTAGTATGAAAGGAGAGACAAACGTCTCTAGACTCCCCTAGACAAGGATGGAACACATATAAATGGTAAGGCACTGTCGCTTTTCGGCGGCTCTTACCAGATTTTTCGTCAAAGTCCGTTAGTCACGCTGGTAACATCCCAGTTGATCGTAAACCTCCGAACAGGACGGACCTCTCAGCCCCCGCCCCCAAAAAAGGACATCAGGCTTAGGTCCTGTGCACAGTGTGCGCGTCAAAGTAAACATTCATTCGCTAAAGGAAAAAGAAAAAGTGACAAAAACTGACAAAAAGTGAAAAATTTGCAGTGACATCATAGCTATAAATAAAAACAAAAATAAAATTATAAAATAAGACAAAATAACAGTATATAAAAAATAGAAGATATCGATAATGAAGCAAAAAGCAAGGAAATGGAACCCACCTTAGAATCAATTAAAAAACCCCACCAAAAGGAAAATAAACTCGCAAATAAGCGGCCAAGGATATCAACAATAGCTTAAGACTCCGCGCAAATGACGCTGAAACTCAACCCCCAACCAAACCTAGTTGCCAGGACCAAAGGATTAGAAGATATCCCAAAAAACACAGAAGAAGAGTATCTCTCCGCCCAGGACGAAAGGACTAAGGAAGTCAGAAACATGAGGCCCATAAAAGCTGCTTCGCCCCCCAGCGATCACAACAAAAAACAGATTTAGCTTACTAGAATCAGAAC